CCCAGTGCTGACCGGGACTGTGACTGTGTCAACGCACCATCACGTGGGGCTTGAGTGCCTGGCTCCCCAGCGTCCTAACCCTTGCTGGCCTTCCTTTTCTCACTCAGAGCCTAGACTGCCCCTTCCTGGATGGGCTGTATGTCACGGAGCCGAGAACAATCCAGCAGCTGCTGTGTAGCCCGTCCAAGTACCGTCTGGAGATCCTGGAGTGGATGTGTGTCCGGTAACATCCTTCTTTCTTCCTCCTCCTGCTCTGGATGGATGCAGCCCCTCAACCCCACCCTGACCACGTGGGGAGAAGGGGGGTACTTCTGCAAGTAGCTAAGCTCTCAGCTGCTTAACTGAAAGGTCAGCGGTTCAAACCCTCTAGGCCCTCCTCAGAAGACCCGGCGATCTGCTCCTGTAAAGATGGCAGCCTAGGAAACCCTATGGGGGAGCTCTAGTCTGTCACGTGGGGCACTGGGAGGCAGAATTCACTCCCTGGCACACATCAGCAGCCACGTGCCCTCGCTGAGGGCTCTGGAGCCTGTGCCCCGGCCGCCGTGAGCAGCTCATTGAGGCAGAAGCGCTGGCCGCACGGCCCTTCTCCCAACTGGCGCCAGCGCTGAGCTCGGCTGCGGAGCCTCCTGGGTCAGTCGGCAGGGACCTGAGATGGGGCCGCTTCAGTCCCTGCACTTTCAGGCTGGGAGTGGGCTGTCTCCAGTTTCGTAGTGGAGTTGTGACCAGCAGGGCCAGGCCCAGGGTACCCTGCCTTAGTCTAGGTTCGCTGGGGCAGCAACTAGCTCTTGCCAGCTCCTTCTGGCCCAGCCTGTGGGCTGGCTCTGGGCCCCAACCCTGTCAGCGAGTCCTTCGGGGTACCTTTCCCGAGCATTTGGGCTGGAAACAAAGCCCCCCAAAAGGCCAGATGCCCCCACAAAAGGCCCAGGAAATCCCGAGGACTGTTTCTTGGGAGTGCCACGCCCACTGTCTTCTTGCACTCAGCCCTGGTCTCCGAGCTGATTGTCTGCGCCGGGTCAGGAAGCTTGGAATGTATTTTGGGTCACCCCCAGAAGTCTCTGGGATGGTGGTGCTCGGTTGGTATGGGGAGGCTACTGAGAAAGGGGCCAGGCAGCAGCTTTGAGGTAGAGGTCAGTGGGCTTGGCCCTGGGCCAGCCCAAGGAAAGGAGGCAGCATTTTGATCTCTTCAGTCTTTGCCTCTCTAATCTCCTCTCCTGCTGCCTTCCAGCCGCCTCCCTAGGCAGCCACACAGCGGTACTCGACCTTTGGCTCTCGCTAACACCGTTCCCCTCCTGGGAACACCCTTCCAGTCTCTGCATGTTACACGTACCTGTGCAGCTCTCATGTCTCATCTCTTTCTACAACTGCTCCTGTCCCTGTGGCCCCTACCCCTTTGAAAGCGCATCTCTATCAGGGCCCTGGCACACTGGCTCTGGGCAGTCTCAGGCCCTAGCAGGTGCTGAATGTAGTTGGGGCCTACTCCCTGATGCACACACACCTGTGTGCTGGCCCTGAGGCCGCCACTGTGCACAGGGGTCCTTGGGGAGCTGGGGCTTTGGCGGGCTAGGAAGGGTCGGCTGTGGGTATCAATGGAATCTGAGCTGAGTGCTGAGGGCATTCAGTAAGAGGAGGTGGCATTTGCCCTGGGCCTCTGGCGAGTGAGTGGCATGTCCCTGGGTATGAGGGAGAGTGATGGCACCAAGCTCCTTGGGATGGGAGTGAGGAGCCGACGCACGGGTGGGGATAGCCCTGACCTGCAGGCAATGCCAGGCAGCTCAGGGCCCGCTCACAAGGGGCCTCGCCAGCCACGTGATGGCCTTTGACCTTTATGCCCTGGGCAGGGTGAGCAACAGGGTTGTCCGTGGGGCAGTGACCCTCAGAAATGGCATTTTTGCCAGGTTCTCGGGCTCGATGGGGGGTGGGTTTACAGCAGAGACATGAGGCAGCAAGAGCCCCAGGGAAGCTGTTGTAATAGCCCTGGGGCAAGATTGCAGGGGTTTGCTGCAGGGTGACTGACAGCTCGTGTGCCAGTCGCTGCCTGCCTGGGAGGGAGCAGAGCCCATCCCAGGAATCTGGGAAGGGAGACAGTAGTGGGGCTGGCCTGGGTGGGTGCGGGGGGCCTTCTGGAGTGGCTCTGTGGGAGGGGACATGGATTGGTCCGAGCCAGGTGGAAGCTGGGAATGCCAGGAGCCAGGCTGCTCTGCCGGCCAGAGAGGGATAAACAGAGGGAAGGCCGAAGCCCCATTGCCCACACGCTTCTCTAAGGACAGGAAACAGACCTTCACGAAGAAGCCTGGGGGCAGGGGGTACACTTGCTCTGGAGAGCGCTAAGCTGGCCCGGTGAGACTTTGAAGGGCCCTGAAGGAGGACGGGCAGATCGCAGCTTCCCCCCAATTCCTGCCTGCTGCTTCCAGGGGCCACGGAAGTTGATCCGCTGGACTGGGGCTGCCTGCAAGGTCTCCCGGGCCTCCTTGGCCTCTGAGCCCGGCTTTCTTTCAAGGCCTCAAGCACCAGCTATTGCTCCCTGCTGACTCAGGTCCCCTAGGTTTGCTGGGTTTGCTTTGACTATGTTGGAGCGCTGCTCCCTGGTCAGTGGGAATGTGGCCTGGGCCGGCCTCGCCAGACTGCAGGGTGGGGGCTGCCTTCTCAGCTTCCTGCCTGGCGAGCATCTTAGTACGTCGTCAGGGCTGAGTCCTCAGGTTCCGGGAACTAGCTCCGAGGGCCTCAACATGATGGGGACTCAGTGGCCTGGGTCTTGGGTGCCGGCTTTGGAGGCACTGGCCCAGGGAAGGCTTGAGGGAGCTGAACGGATCAGTCACAGGGCGTCTCGCGTGCTTCTGCTCCCTGGAGGTCAGAGCCCCTGAGGGCGGCAAGCAGGGCTTGGCATGGCCTGTACTGTCAGGTTCTCATTTGCAGAGCAGACGGTCTCTGTCGCTGTAGCAGGAAAGCAGCCGTAGACCACACGTAACAAGTGGGTCATGCTGGGAGCTGATTAAACTTTATTTACAAAAAGAAGTGGCCAGCTCGATGGGCCCTGCCTGGTTCAGGTGGAGACCTGGCTTAAGTACCTTCTCCTGTGAAATTAGACTTTTTTAAAGTGGAAAACCCTTCCTCAATTGAAAGAGCTAAGTGTCCACACTGAAGGCAGAATGATGTGGGGCGAGAGGCGGTGTACTCAGCAGCCCCTGACCTGGGCTGCTGAATGGCAAGGCAGTTCTGGGATGCGAGCCCTGGAGAAGGCGTGGCTGCCAGGGCTTCGGGCTTCGCAGAGTGGCAGCGCCTTGAGCTTGGCAGGGTGGGGAGTGTGGGAAACAAGTGAAGAGCCACTGCCTCTGGTGGCCTGGCCAGGCTGGGGGGGCCAGCACGGGAAGGGCTTCTGCCAGGCTCGGAACACAGCCACGCTGGGACTTAAAGGAAGGCTCCCCATCAGCTCCTTCAGAGAAAGGCAGGCAGAATTGGGGAGCCCCAGAGAGGATGGTGGGTGGACACTCGGCACTAGCATGGCCCTTCCTGACTTGTGCTGTTGTCTCCCACAGGGTCTGTCCCTCCTTCCAGGACAAGTTCGCCTCTCTGAAGGGTGCCCAGGCCGAAGTGAAGATCCAAGGTAGGTCTGTACTCTGGGACGGGAGCTGGGCGGTGCACATCCCCATAGCTGCTGACTGGGGCCACCCTGAGGCATGGGGAGGGCCCTGGGTTGCTTTCGTAATTGGTACCCCAAAGTGGGTGGCCCGTCAGAACAGAAATGGATTCTCACAGTGCTGGAAGCCAGAAGTCCGAATTTAGGAGGTAGGCAGGGCCGTGCTTGAAGGTTCTGGGGGAAGATCCTTTCTTGTCTCTGACGGTCCCGGGTGTGTCTTGGTTTGTAGAGGCTTATTCACATGGCTGTCTTGTCCCATCTGTCTCGCTGTAGCTGTGTCTCTTTTATAACAGCGTCGCTCGCATGGGGTCAGGGCCCACCCCCCTCCTGCATGATCTCATGTTCACTGATAACGTCTTCAAAGACCCTGTTTACACACGAGGTCACATTCACAGCTACAGGGGTTAGGACCTCTGCCTGTCTTTTGGTGGCACAATTCCATCCGGGGCAGCCCCTCTCCCACATGAGCAGCAGGACGAAAGGGGAGCACTTAAGGACCTCAACCAATACAAGTGACAGTCCCCTCAGCTTCGCCCACAGTGCCCTCATTGCCGTCGGCTCCTCGGGCAGCTGGCTGGCTTCCACTAGAGGCCAGAGTTAGCGAGTTGTGTATGTGGGGGTGTGTCTGATTCAAGGGAAGGATGCTGATGCCCAGAGGGGCTGTGACTTGGTGCACGCCACATAGCGAGGGGCTACTCTGGCAGTGGGTGTCTTCCACCTGCCCACCTCTTCCACTCTGGTGGCGGTGCTCAGCCCAACAGCTGGTGCACGTGCACTCGCCGCAAAGTGCTGTCTGTATGGTGCCTCTCCACCTTGGGCGTTGCCCGAGTAATGGGACCCTCCTGCTCTGACAGAGATGGTGAAGCTCGGCCAGGAGCTGATGCTGTGTGGACCAGATGACCAGGAGCTCGTGATGGTGAGAGGACCCTCGTCTGTCCCCGCACCTCTGAGACTCCTGGCACACCTGGGCCTGGGCAGGCGTTCCTCTAGCCCCTCTTGACGCCTCTGGCCCCCTCTTAGCCTTCAGAACAAGCACCAGTGGGATTCGCATGGGTAGACTCCACTGTCCCTGGGGTGGGCATGGGGCTGGTGGAGGTGGGTCTCAACCCAAAGGGGCCGAGCACATCCCTGCTCGATCACCTCCCGTGCACCTGGCACTGGTAAGTCCTTCACCTCCCAGTGATCGTCCCCTGGGCAGTGGGCACTTGTCTTATCCCCATTTCAGAGGGGCAGAGCCAGGCCGCAAAGCCAGGCTCCAGCCTCCTGAGCCCACGTGCTTTCCTCTTCCCACTGCTGCTGCCCCGGAGCTTCTGGGGGAGTGGTCCTCCTCCCATTGCCAGAAACCCCACTCCCTGCCCCTAGGACCTGCACAAAATCTTTGGAATGTTTACAGATTCTTGGGACAGAAACCCCACTCCCTGTCCCAAAGACCTACACAAAATCTTTAGAATGTTTACAGCTTCTTGGAAAGGTAGAAATAAAATGTACAGGGAGGTGCGGGACCCCCTTCCCTGAGTGTCCCCGGGTATTAACGTCTTGCATAACAGTAGGACATTGTCACGACGAGGAGATGGACGCAGGTACCATTGGCAGAGCGCAGTCGGGTTTGCAATGTATGTGTGTGTGCGTGCAGTTTCCTCCGTGTGCACGTTCAGGTGCCCACCACGAACACAGTCACAATACAGACCCTCGTATTCCTCTTTTGAGCCTGCTTCTGTGGGCTGGGGCTCTGGCGTGCGTTCATTTTCCACAGCCCTTGCTGATCTGAGCCATGCTGCACACGTGACGCCCATTGGTCAGGTTGGGACCCAGGTGTTGGTCTGGCCCCTGGCTTAGTCGTCAGTCTTTGGTATGCTCACCAAGATCCCGTCCACAGGTTGGGGTGAGCCCAGGGGTGCACAAGTGGATTTATGGGATCACTCTTCTGAGCGGTTCCCTCTCCATTATCTCCTTGGTCCTTCCTGTCCCACGGGGCTCCTCTCAGGTCCTCTAGATGTAGACTGCACCATGGTGTGGGTGGCCATGGTGATCATGGAGGTGGGAGGCAGCAGAGCCCTTCAGGTTTGCTGAAGGGTGATGAGGGTGGGGCAGGGCGAGGTCGGCGCTCGGGGGCTTCATTCTGGACCTTTCTGGAGCATCCTTGTGGAGTGTGGCCCTCTGCGGCCCCAGGGCTCCCCGGGCAGCTCTGGGTGCTGCCGCCTTCCTGTCTTGGGTGACCAGTGCCGGGCCTCCCTCTGCAGGGCCGTGCTTGTGCTCAGAAGCAGCTGCGCTTCATGGACCAGATGCTGGATGCCATTTGGAGCCTGAGCATCAGCTGCTCTGCTTGTTCCAGGTAAAGGGGCAGGTGGGCCTCAGCAGGACGGCTGACGGGAGCCCCTTGACCGGTCTCGTGGCCTGCTCCCCTGGATCCCAGAGCTGGAGCTGGAGGGGGCCGCAGGGGCTCTCTGGGGACCTGGTCCTACCACTTTCTGGACTGAGCCCGGGCAGGACACCATCCCCTGGGGGCTCATGGGCTTGTCCCGGAGCGGGCAGTGTCCGAGGCGGATGTGGCCGTGACGGTGTGCTCTGTGGCTTGCAGTGTGGCCCAGCACTTCAAGGACACCAGGGGCCAGAACGAGGCACTGCTGGCAGAGCTCTTCTGCAGCCCACACCTGCAGGCGCTCCTGAACCCTGAGCAGGACCTGTGGCCCCTGGACGTGCAGCCGCTGCTCGACCCGCCCAAGTACAGCTGCTCCCCCTGGGCCTGGCCCCGGACTGGGTGCCCTGGCGGCCAGGGAGGTGGGCTGACTGGCTCACCTTCTCTCCCACAGGGCTGGTCTCTCTTGCGAGGCAGGGGAGAGGCAGGTGGCGGAGCTGGCCAAGCAACTGCAGGAGAGCACTGCCCAGCTCCAGGCGCTCAAGGCAGAGGTGAGGGTGGGTGGCCTGCCTCCTTGGATGGTGCTTGGCCCTTGGCCCTGGAGGCTAGAGGCACCTGCCGTGCAGCCCCAGGGCCTGGCTTCAGGGGTGTGGTGAGGCTTACGTGAGGTGGCCTCCGCACAGGCTGGCAGGGTTCTGAAACACGGTGGGTGCTCCGTAGCCAGGGACTTTCACTGTTACCAAGAGGGGAGAAGCAAGGCTGGGCTGCCTGTGGCTCCTCACAGCCCGGGAGAGTGGGCTCCAAGTCTGCGTGGGTGGGTGGCTCATGCTGGGCCCTGAGCTCCATGCTTTCCCAGCGGCCCCTGGGCTGGCTTCCTAACTTCAATGAGGAGGAAACCGAGGCCCAGAATGACCAACTGATTGGCTTCTGGAAGTGCCAGGCTGTCTTACTGTAAACATAAGGCTCTGATGTGCGCCAGCTGCTGTCTTTGTCTTACGTGTCCATCTCCTGCCTCTTGTCTTCTGCTTCTTAGCCTGGCTGGGGCTGTTTCAGTCAGATGCTGCCCGTAGGCGGGAGGCAGGGGACTGGGTGTCCCTGGAGTGGGGGCGGGAACAGGCAGAGAGTCTCTGCTTCTGGTCTCCTTCACAGTGCCTCTCCCAGCACAAGGAAGTGGCTACTGCGGCCAGGGCCGACTTCCACACCTTGGATCAGAAGTTGCGCCTGGTTGTCTCCGACTTCCACCAGCTCATCCTGGCATTCCTTCAAGTCTATGATGACGAGCTGGGTGAGTGCTGTCACCGCCTGGGCCCTGACCTCCACCCGTGCGGCCCCATCGTCCAGGCTGTGTACCAGACTCTGACTTCCTGCAGCCAAGTAAGAAGACCCCTTTCCCTCCCCGCCCCAGCCACCATGCCAGAGCTCGGGGGGCGGCTCCTTTTGGGGGATCCGAGGGCTGGGACTGCTGGCGGGTACTGCGAGGGGGGACACCTGTGCTGCCAGGACTAGGGAGGTGGCCTGACGTAGACTGTCTCACCCCAAGTGATCCAGGCCTTCGGGGGCCATTTCCGGAGCAGAGGCCCCACCCCTGAAGAGGTCGGTGCACGGTGGCCACATAGGCCTACAGCCTCGGCCTCTGCCTTCCGTCGTCCCCTCTGGCAGTTTCACTGTTTCTGCTAGAAAAGCATCACCTGCCTGTGACCGTGACCCAGATGAGACGAGGCGCTAGGACGTGCAGCTGACTTGGCTGTGCAAAGATCTCCTCACTGTCTCATTGCCCCACTCGGGTCCCTGAGTGCCAGCCTCACGGACGCTTTGCTTAGGGCATCTGCTCACGGGCTTCCTTGGGCTTTTCAATGCCAAGGCACCTGGACTTGGAAACATTCACAGGCCTGTCTGCTCAGGGTCCTACGGGGGCGTTTTGGGTACCATCAGAAAGGCCGTTTATTTTAGGACAGCTTTACTTAGAGTAGGGGGCCACACAGTGTGGACCACTGTCTGCAAGTTATTGGCCTCTGAGGCCTGCCAGTGTGGGATGGTGTGGCATCCCACAGGGCCAGGAGGGCCAGGATTTAGGTGGGCGACCCTGATGGATGACTCTCCTTGGTTCAAGGGGGCAGGCCAGGGGAGTTTGACAGGAAGCTGCAGACTGCCTCTCCTGGCCTAACCAGCAGCGTTAAAGGCCGGCTCTACCTCCTGCCTCACCCCGCCACCTTCCTTCCTAGCTGCTGAAAGCTGTCGTGGAGGTCACTAACACCTCTGTGAACATCGTGGACATGGTGGCCAAGCAGCAGGAAGAGAAGATCTGTTGGGACAGCAATAACTCCACTGTGAGTCTAGGTATGAGGCGCCCCTTCCTGCCCCTGCGGCCGCCTGCTCGGCTGGGGCCCCGCGTTGTGCAGGACCGGCACTCGGGGAGCACTGGGGACCAGCACCTTACTTTCTTTCTCTTTTCTAATCATGGTAAAATAGGTCTAACATAAGATTGGCCATTTTAACCATCTTTAAGTACACAATTCTGTGGCTTTAATGATACTTACAGTGTTGTGTGACTGCAACCTCTATTTCCAGAGTTTCTTATCACCCAAGTAGAAACTCTGTATCCCTTAAGCAATGACACCCCATTTCCTTTTCCCCAGCCCCCAGTAACCACGAGTAGACTTCATTTCTATAAAAAACAAACTCGCTGCCATCAAGTCGGACCCAACTCCTACCAACCCCTCCTTGGCTTTCTGAGGCAGTGTTGCTATGGAAGTAGATTGCCCAACCTTCCTTCCGAGGAGTGGCTGGTGGGTTTGAACCACCAGCCTTCTGGTTAGCAGTCAAATGCCTTAGGCACTATGCCACCAGAGCCCCTATGTGTGTGTGTGTGTGTGTGTATGTATGTGTGTGTATATACACATACACACACACACATACACACCGAAAACCAAACCTGACTCATAGCGACCCCTCTAACCCCTCCTTGGATTTCTGAGGCGGTATCACTACAGAAATAGATTCCCCAATCTTCCTTCCAAGGAGTGGCTGGTGGGTTTGAACTGCCAGCCTGATGGTTAGCAGTCCAATTCTAGATATTTCCTGTAAACAGTATCCATACAGTGTTTGTACTTTTGGGTTTGGCTGACTTGCTTCCCTTAGCAGGAAGTATTCCGTGTTCATCCATGCTGTAGCATGTGTCTGGGCTTCATTGCTCTTTATGGCTGGCGAGTATTCGATTGACTGCATGGACCACATTGGCTTCCTCCGTTCATCTATTTGTGAGCATTTATGTTGTTTCCACCTTGTGGTGGTTGTGAATAGTAGTGGTGTGAACAAGGTGTACAAGTGTCTGTTTGAGTCACTGCTTTCGAGATTCTTGATGTTGTTAGGTGCTGTCGGGTCAATTCTGACTCATGGCAATCCTGTGTATAACAGAATGAAACACTGCCTGGTCCTGCACTGTCCTCACAATCGTTGCTATGATTGAGCCCATTGGTGCAGCCACAGCGTCAATCCATCTCGTTGAAGGTCTTCCCCTTCTTCACCGACCCTCCACTTTACCAAGCATGACATCCTTCTCCAGGGAATGGTCCCTTCTGACAGCATGACCAAAGTAGGTGAGACAAAGTCTGGCCATTCTCGCTTCCAAGGAGCATTCCAGCTGCACTTCCTCCAGGACAGATCTGTTTCTTCCTCTGGCGGTGTGTGGTATTTTCAGCGTTCTTCCCCAAGGCCACAACTCAAAGGCATCAGCTCTTCTTTGGTCTTCCTTACTTATTGTCCAGCTCTCACATGCATATGAGGCGATTGAAAATACCATGGCTTGGGTTAGGCACATCTTAGTCTTCAAGGAGACATCTTTGCTCTTCAGCACTTTAAAGGTCTTTTGCAGCAGATTTGCCCAGTGCAATACGTAGTCTGATATATTGACTGCTGCTTCCATGGGTGTTGATTGTGGAACCAAGTCATAGGAAATCTTTGACAACTTCACTCTTTTCTCCATTTATTGTGATGCTGCTTATTGGTCCAGTTGTGGGGATTTTTCTTTTCTTTATGTTGAGGTGTAATCCATACTGCAGACTGTAGTCTTTGATCTCCATCAGTAAGAGCTTCAAGTCATTTTCACTTTCAACAAGCACAGTTGTGTTGTCTGCATATCACAGGTTGTTAATGAGTCCTCCTCCAATCCTGATGCCTTATTCTTCATATAGTCCAGCTTCTAGGATTATTTGCTCAGCATACAAACGAAATAAGTATGGTGAAAGGGTACAGCCCTGATGCACACCTTTCCTAATTTAAAACATACAGTATGCCCTTGTTCTTTTTGGATGACAGCCTGTTGGTCTGTGTACAGGTTCCTCATGAGCACAATTAAGTGTTCTGGAATTCCCATTCTTTGCTATGTTATCCATGATTTCTTATGATCCACACAGTCAAATGTCTTTGCATAGTCAATAAAGCACAGGTAAAAATCTTTGTGGTATTTTTTGCTTTCAGCAAAGATCCACTTGACATCAGCAATGATATCCCTCATTCCACATCCTCACCTCAACCCAACTTGAATTTCTGGCAGTTCCTTTAAATATACTGCTGCAACCTTTTTTTAATTACCACCAGCAAAATTTTACTTGGGTGTGATATTAATGATATTCTATAATTTCTGCATTCTGTTGGATCACCTTTCTTTGGAATGGGCACAAATATGGATCTTTTTCATTTAGTTGGCCAGGTAGCTGTCTTCAAAATTTCTTGGCATAAATGAGTAAGTACCTCCAGTGGGGCATCCATTTGTTGAAACATCTCAGAGGGTATTCTGTCAGTTCTTAGAGCCTTGTTTTCCACCAATTCCTTCAGTGCAGCTTTGACTTCTTCCTTCAATACCGTTGGCCATTGGTTCTTGATGGTATGCTATCTCTTGAAATGGTTGAATGTTGACCGGTTCTTTTTGGTACAGGGACTCTGTATTCCTTCTGTCTTCTGGCGCTTCCTGTGTCATTCAGAATGCCCAGAGAACCCTTCAGCACTGCAGCTTGAAATGGGAGTTTTTTCTTCCGTTCTTTCAGCTTGAGAATTGCTGAGCGGGTGCTTCCCTTTTGGTTTTCTAACTCCAGGTCTTTGCACATTTCATTGTAATACTTCACTTTGTCTTTTCAAGCCACCCTTTGGAATCTTCTGTTCAGCTTTTTTATTTCAACATTTCTTCCATTTGCTTTAACCACTCTCCATTCAAGAGCAAGTTTCAGAGTCTCTTCTGACATCGCTTTTGGTCTTTTCTTTCTTTCCTATCTTTTATTTCCCCCGTCGAATGTTTTATTGGGATTTGGGTAAAAGTTCAGAGAGCAAATTCGTTTTCCATGCAACACCTTGTACACGTTTTATTCCATGACATTAGCTGCAATCCCTCAGTGTGGCAGCACTCTTCCCACTCCCTCCCTGGGTTCCCTATTTCCATTCACCCATCTTTCCTGACCCTTCCTGCCCCCTGAACTTTGGTCTGCTGCCCCTTGGGTCTCGTTTGGTCGATTGTTCTGAGGAACACATGCCTCCTTGGTGTTATTGTTCACTTTATAGTCCTGTCTGTTGTTTGGCTGAAAGGTGATGTCAGGGAGTGGGTTCAGTTCCAGGTTTGAAGGGTGTCTAAGGACCATAGCCTCGGGGGTTCCACCAGTCTATCAGACCAGTAAGTCTAGTATTTCTCTATAATTTTGAATTTTGTTCTTCATTTTTCTCCTACTCTGTGCAGGACCTTCTGTGGTCGTGATCAGAGTGGTTGTTGGCGGTAGCTGGGCACCATCTAGTTCTTCTGGTCTCAGACTGTTGGAGGCTGTGGTTCTCATGATCCTTTGGACTAACGGGTTCCTTGAGTTAATCAGACATTTTTTAGTGTGCCATCCTTTTCCTCAATTTTGGGGGGTTATTTACTTAGTGGTTTTGCTAGGGATTACAATTAACATCTTAATTTCAAACGCTCTAGTTTGGATTAACGTCCATTTATCTTCAATGGCTACAACATCTCTGCTCCTGTGTACTTCCTGCCCCTCTTATGTTCTTGTCACAAATTACATTGTATGCGCTGTGTGCCCCATAACACAGATGCAGAGTTATTTTTAAGCATTTTTTAAAATCATGTAGGAAATAAAATGTGGGGTTATAAGCTAAAAATTCTCTAAGGCTGACTTACATATTTACCCGTGTCGTTCCTTTTACTGGGAATCTTTCTTTCTTTCTTTATGTGGCTTCTTTTCCTCTTTCTTTCCATGGCTTTGAGTTATTGTCTACGGGCCTTATATTTCAACCTGAAGAAGACTCCCTTTGGTATTTCTTGTAGGGCAGGCCTCCAGCTAATGAACTCCCTCAGCTTTTGTTTATCTGTCTTAGTATCTCCTTTATTCTTGAAAGATAGTCTGGTCAGATGTAGAATTCTTGACTGACAGTATTTTTCTTCCAGCCAGTTCAGTGTGTTGCCCCAGTGCCTCCCGGCCTCCATGGCTTCTGATGAGGAGTCAGCTGGTGATGTTACGGGTGTGATGAGTTACTTCCCTCTCACTGCTTTCAGAATCCTCACTCTCTGTTTTCGTCTCTTGACAGTTTGATTTTAATCTGTCTTGGTGTGGAGCTCTTTGGGTTTGTCCTACTTGGAGTTTGTTGAGCTTCTTGGATGCATAATTCAAGTCTTTTATCAACACTCATCCAGGCAGTTGACAGTGCGATCATTACCTTCACTTCCGCTTGGGCAGAGCCTCCAAGTCAGCAGGGCTAAGGGCTTAGTTCTTAGGTCTTTTCTGACTATTCACATGGCTTCTGGATTCTCAGGACTAGTCCTTAACCTGCTCCTGTTGAGTCGATTCCAACTTCCATCAGTCCTATGGGACAGAATAGAACTGCCTCATAGGGTTTCTAAGGCTGTCATCTTTACAGCAGCAGAGTGCCATGTCTCTCTCCCACGGGGTGGCTGGTGGGTTCAAACTGCCAGCCTTTCAGTTAGCAGCCAAGCACTTTAACCACTGCATCATCAGGGCACCTTTTCAGAGTCTTAATTAAAACCAAAGCACACCCACTGCCATGGGGTCGATTCTGACTCACAGCACCCCTAGAGGCCATAGTGGAAGTGCCCCACAGGGTCTCCAAGGCTGCCAGTCTTTAGGGACGCAGACTGCCATGTCTTTCTCCCACAGGGCAGCTGGCGGGTTCAAACTGATGACCTTTGGGTTGGGTTCGCAGCTGAGCACTTCCACCACAGCGGGGCCCCAGGGCTCCTATTCAAAGGCCTTCCTTCCGGGACTTGCCATTGTTTGGCCCAGCTGTTCTCCTTTGCCTCAGGCAGCAGCAGCTAAAGCATTTGCCTGCCAATGTTTCCGCCACACTGCCCCCTTCCCTGTGGGGAATTTAGGTCCTATGGCTTGAGGGCCCTCTCTTTGGAGGAATGTCTTTGGATGCCCCCCCAGCCCCCCCCTCTGGCCCCACCTTTGCCTGCGGCGCACGCTTGCCTGTGTCCCTGGTACTCAGGAGCCCGCCTTGCGACAATAGGATCCTCCATTGTACCGTTTCTCCTAATCGCCACTGTGACTGACTCTTCCTACCACTGTGTTTAACTGCTCTTAATAAGAGACTTTGCCTTCAGAATATAATAATCATGGTTAAGATTTATAACAGGTGCCGTCTCACCTGTGACCATAGGACACTTGTGCTTTTCTGACAGGCAGGGGCAGGTGCTGGCTTAAGCTCTCAGTCCATGACTCCTGCCTGTTGGCCTTGGCTTGCCCCCAGACTCTGGCTACGTCAGTAGGTCTGAGAGTTGGAGGGACAAGGTGGTCCTAGCTCTCTGCAGGCTTGGGGTGCTCTGCGAGGTCCTCCCGCCTCAGGTCAACTCCAGGCAGCTTCGTGATTCTGTGTGATGGGAATTCACAGTCTAGCTTCTCCCTCTGAAGGCCAACCAGAGTGCCCTTGCCTTTGCTCATTCTCCCACGAATCTGTGGGGGCCTTGGCCCTGGGGGCTCCTTGGCAGCCTTTCTAAGGCCTGCGGGCCAGGGCTGGGGAGGTTGGCAGGGGCGGGGGAGTCAGAGGCGGGAGTGAAGGAAGGTCTGGGAAGAGGCCGATTTTCCACGACCTCATCCGACACCCCCCCAAAGAGGAGGGAGAGAGGTCGTGAATGGGAGCCAGGCGAAGCACACGGGTGTGACTAGTCTCGTTAGAAGAGAACAACGTGGCAAAGTCCAGCCAACCTGCTCCCCACCACAGCCTGCTTCCCCTGGGCCCGCGTGGGCAGGATGGCAGGCGGGGTGGGTCTCGGTCCAGCCCAGGGCTCCGGAGCTGGTGGCCAAGCCCGCAGTGTGGCTGCAGCACAGGGCCACCTCCCACGGGCATCATACCTGGTGTGCGCCAGCTTGCCACCCGAAGGCTCGTCCCTTTCTGGGTCCCAGTTGGAGTTTGGCTGCAGATGAGGGGAGCTGGGGAGTGGCGAGGCTCTGTCGGCCCGGGGAGCCTGCCTGGGCCGCTGGACTCACGCTGCTGTCTGCCTTGCGTTCTTTCCTCTGCAGCCGTCAAAATGCAGGAGCTCACACAGAAATACAAGCTCTTCAGCGAGGCTCTGGGGAAAGGCCCCGAGTAGTCGGGAATACTCGGAGCTGGAGGAGAGGCCGCAGCCCCGCATCCTCCAGACGCCTAGTCGCGCGCCTGGCGCCCCTAACTCTTTCTGAGCAAGGAAACATGGGGTCCTCCCTTCCCTGGTGTCCCCAGGCCAGGCCAGGCCTGGCTGGAACCCTCGGGGCTCCCACAGTGTCCCCTCGCCGCCTCTCCCCCCCCTACTCCAGGAGGTGTCTACATTTGTAGTCAGGCCTGGCAGGCCGCTCCCCCCTCGTCCTCTGCTGGCCTCAGAGGGCTCCTGGCAGCCTTTGGCCCAGCCGTCCCCCCGGTGCCTTGGGGACAGCTGCTGGCACCCACTTGGGCGTGCTCCATGGACAGGCCACTTCCTGCTCCACCTCTCCAGGGCACTTGGCACCAGGCGGGAATTTTTTGGTGGTTGCCTGACTGGTTGTCCAGGAAGCTCCTCTCAGCTTCCCAGGTGACCCAGTATCTCCCTGAGCAGAGTTCCTGTCACAGCCACCTCCCTCCCTCCGAGCATGGGAACAGGCACAGCTGGTGGGGCCACCACCTTGGTTTGGGTCTCTGGCCAGGCTTCTGGGGTTGGGGGGCTTGGCTTCCAGACATCATTTCCACTGCCCCCTCAGCCCACCCTAATGCCACCATGCGTTCTGCTCACTCAGCCTTGCTCCCAGCACCTCCCACTTTTATGTCCCCAGATTCCCTGGGACCTCAAAACAGGAGGCCTGAGGCACCCCCACGTGCTTCATGAGGTGGGAAGGCAGACAGCTGTGTGGTCACCATCATCCAGGTGCACTAGCAGCCTTGGGCCGAGGGCCCCCAGCTTCCTCTGAGCCACGGCTGCTGTTAGGGCCCTGGCCGGGGTCACTGGGCCAGGGAGCCCCTGCCTTTCACCTCACCCCACGGTGCTGCCTGCTGGTCCCTTGGGGCCATCACAAGGCTCTTGTGTGTCAGCTTGGTGGGGAGGCGTCTCCTGTCTTGACTGCCCACTCGCGGACTCACGCTGCCCTCCGTCCATCAGCCTGTGTCTGTCCAGCTCCCGGGAAGAGGGCGCTCGGCTCCCCCCACTCCTTCCTTCCCGGCTGCCTCTGCTAATGGCTTGTTAAAGCTGATGGTCTTGATGGCAGCTACCATTTCCCCGCCCGATGGAAGATGCGCCCTGGAGGTGGAGGAGCAGGCGCTGCGGAGGCTTCCCCTCACTCCCGAGCCCACCTCACCTCGAGGGGCAGCCTGATGCCTTGTGATAGGGGAAACTGAGGCCCGGCCGGGTGGGGCTCCTGCTGCCTCCTGTGCCAGTGACGACACACTCCTGCACCCACAGCAGCGTGTGTCTGAAGCCCGTGTGGCCCGGGAGCCAGCCCCTTGCTTTGTAAACACCGACTGTGGGTGTGTGTCCCAGTGGCTGTGAGTGCTGAGGGGGCGGTGAGCCGGCCACACTGGTCCTGCGGCCTCGGCCCTGTCCTTGCCCAACAGGCAGCTGGGGGCGGGCCACGGCCGCTGATTAAAGGCCGCCGGGAGCAGCCCGCAGCACACAGGTGCTCAGCAGCCAGGAAGCCGGCCGGCGCCCATCGCAGGTAAGGAGGGACAGGCTACCATGAACTCGAGCCCGGAGGCGGCAGCGGGGACACTGGGACTGGCCCCTGTGGGCCAGGGAGGGTCAGAGTTGGGGCCTGGCTCCCTCAGGTCCTCGACCCCGGGGCTGGAGAGGTAGGCCATGCCTGTCGGAGAAGGGGCCGGGGCACCAGAGGAAGACCAGGTGAAGAAAAGGCCCAGGCCCTGCCTCCCCAAGTCCCCGGTGAGGGCCCTGACCAAGGGCCTGGCCGTGGTTCGCCTTCCTCTCCCCAGACACAGGGCGGGGCGAGCAGCAGGCAGAGGGCTCTTGACATGTGCCAAACTCAGGCCTGCCTGTCACTGCTGCTGAGGGTTCCCGGGGGCAGCGAGCAGGAAGGAGGTGATGAGCCCCCGAGAGGCCTCAAGCTGGGCTGAGAACAGGCCGTTGTCCCAGGGCTGGGCGTTGTGGGTGGGGCTCGGGGCCAGGTGTCCCTATCGCTTTAGCTCTCCGGTCCAGTGCCTTTTGCTCTGGCAGCTGTAGGCCTCCTGTCCCCGTGAGCACATCGTCATGTCTGAGACACCCCGGGCTGAGACCTTTGTCTTCCTGGACCTGGAAGCCACCGGGCTCCCGAATGTGGACCCGGAGATTGCCGAGATAGCCCTGTACGCCGTGCATCGCTCGTCGCTGGAGAACCTCGAGCGGGACGAGGCCGGCACCCCTGTGCTGCCCCGGGTCCTGGACAAGCTCACCTTGTGCATGAGCCCAGAGCGCCCCTTCACCGCCAAGGCCAGCGAGATCACGGGTCTGAGCAACGAGGGCCTGGCCCAGTGCCGGAAGGCCGGCTTCAATGGCGCGGTGGTGCGGACACTGCAGGCCTTCCTGAGTCGCCAGGAGGGCCCACTCTGCCTGGTGGCCCACAACGGCTTCGATTACGACTTCCCCCTCCTGTGCACGGAGCTGCAGCGCCTGGGCGCCCAACTGCCCCCGGACACAGTCTGTCTGGACACACTGCCTGCACTTCGGGGCCTGGACCGTGCCCACAGCCATGGCACCCGGGCCCAGGGTCGCAAGGGCTACAGCCTGGGCAGCCTCTTCCGTCGCTACTTCCAGGCTGAGCCGAGCGCCGCACACTCGGCCGAAGGCGACGTGCACACACTGCTTATGGTCTTCCTGCACCGCGCGGCTGAGTTGCTTGCCTGGGCCGACAGGCAGGCCCGCAGCTGGGCCCACATTGAGCCCATGTACTCCCCGCCCGAGGCCCTGAGCCTCGAGGACTGAGCACGGCAGCCGCCGAACGCCGAACACCGAACACGAGCGCCTGCGCTGGGCTGCCCCTGCCTGCACCCATCCAGCGGGGCGAGTCCTTCCCAGCCCCAGCGGCTGGCTAGGTGACCCCAAGTGGACCCTGTCCGCTTGGCAGCCAAGCCCCTCCACTGTCTTCTGGCCAGCCGCCTCCCCACCCCCACCCCATGCCTTTGGCCGGTCTGGGTGCTCTGGTGACTTGACCCCCGCGCTGTGGGTCCCCGCCTCTCGTCCTGCCTCAATAAACATCACAACCAACTGCCGCCTCAGTTCCCCGTGCCCCAGCCACAGCCCGGTGTTACACCCATGGGAATAAGTACACTCAGCCTGGGGAGAGTGGAGATCAGGGCCTGCGCGGCAACAAGCCACGGGCCACCCGCCCAGCAGGGCTCCTACCGGTACCTCCCCTGCCTCCTTGAGGAGGGCCCAAGTCTGTGCCCGGGAGGGAGGGGACAGGGAGCTGCCCTGGCCTCCAACCCAGCTCATTGGCTCCACTAGAAAGACCTGGCCCTCCTTGAAAAGCAGTGCCGTGTCCAGCAACCCCAAGGTGCTCAGGAGAAGAGAGTCCCTTGTCCCCGTGCAGGCACACACAGCACAGGGCACTCAAAGGTCTAAGCGGGCAACAGGAAGGTCCCAGGGTCGGGGTGTGATAGGCACCTCCGGATGGGCAGAGGGGCCGAGGAGAGGTGGGCAGCCACGCAAGGAGCCCCAGGCCGAGGTCCATCGTGGCCTCGTGTCCTATCTGCATGGCCCTGCCAGTCCTGGCCGGGCTCAGAGACTGCTTGGTAGGTGGCAGCCCCTTGCCAGGCAGCCTGGCAGGGCCTTCAGGTGCCAGGACCCAGCCCTGGCGCCCCACCCTGAAGGGCTGCCAGCCTCGTGAGGGGCGGCGGGGGTGGGGTGGCCACTCCTGCAGAGTGACTCTCTGCAAAGCCGTGACTCTCGACAAAGCCGTGAACCAGCTGGGCCCGTTCGGGGACCCTAAGTAGGTCAAGATGACAAGAGCAGCTGCGGTGCGCAAAGTGACTGAGGAGGGGACTCCACACCTGGCCCTGAGGTCTGGGGCCACCAAGCAGGGGAGGGGCACAGTCTGGTTTAAGTTTTTACATAGCTGTCAATGAGACTGTGGGGAATGGATGGGGGTGGCAGCCAAGGGCAAGAAGCCGAGGGCTGAGTGATGGGGACAGGAGAGGAGGCGAATGGTCGAAGGGGGCTAGTTAGGGTGCATAGCCAGTACCCAGAAGATCTGTGCCTTTGCCCAGCTTCCCGAGGAGGGCTGCTTGGGTCCCTGGGAGAGCCCCAGGGAGGAGCAGAAAGCGTGGGGGACACTGCCAGGATTGCAATTCCCAGGGCCACTCGGGTCCCCTCCTGACTCTGGCTGGGTTTCCAACAGGCCGCATCCCCTTCAGCCAGCCTGACTCCTAAACAGGGACCCTTGGCCAGCAGGGGAGGCCTTTGAAACCCTGGACTGGCCAACTCACTGGGGTGGGCAAGACCAAGTGGGTCCCTTCCCACTCAACAGCCAGGCTTGGATGGACAGGCCAATGGTCTCAGCAGCTGATCGGTGGCTGCTCTGGGCCCCAGTGCTGCTCCCCACCACTCTGAGCTCCCTGGCCTCATGGTGGCCACCTCCCTGAGTCCTAAGTCCGTGCCTGGACTGGCCAGGCTGAACACCATGGCTTCCATGCTGTCCAGACAGCCTGTCCCACTGCTGCCTCCGAAGCAGTTCATGCTAAGGAGTGCTAAACGGCAGCTTTGCAGCCATGTATGCATGTACATATGCATGTATGTGTACATATATATACATACATGCACACACAAGTTCATGATTGATTTCATTGATGTAAATGATGAGAGCACACAATTTACAGATAATAGAATAGACACTATATCCAAAATGCATAATCAAATATATAATATAGTTCCTCATCAATTCCATAGAGCCCATCGAGTCTCACAAAATCCTTTTGTTGACTTTGGCTCATCTCGTGGCTGTGCCCAACCTCTGACTGCTACTGGTTGGTGCAGTCTTTTATGTCAATGAGTAAAATGGAGGGAAACAATGAAGATGTATGCTGGAATTTCACTCGGTGATGTGAGGGACTTCTTTGCTGAACTAGATGACAGTTTTCAAATACTGTAGAAATGTTTCCTCAATTGAATCTACTTATTTTTTTGCTCTTCACAATGTCATGGCTACAGACATGACATACACCATTCAATATGCATTATGAACATTTTCCCGGTCATTTTCATAAGTTGAGACAATCAACAAAACAATAACAATAAACCCAGCCCTGATTTGTAGCATATGCTGATTTTCTCGGTGGGGATACTTCCATCATGGTATTCGCAGGACGTCTCTGAACAAGAAGTAGGCAAGAGATTCATGGTGGCAAACTGTTGTTACCGGAGCTGCCGAGAGAAACCCCAGCGCTGAGCAGGACTATGCAAAGGAAGGACTTTATTGTACCGGAACTTGGGCTCGGTGGGTTCGTATCCGGAGACTGAGCCCCAAACAAAGGCCATGTAAGGTTTTTATGGGGCTCTTCTTCCCGGGTCTTTGGGATAAAAGGGTGGTTGGTTATTTTCAAGGACACAAGCCAGCAGTGTTACAGAAGCAGAAAAAAACTCAGGGAAGAAACAGGAAGATGGGAACAGGTGTAGGTTGGCTGGGATGCATAGATAAGAAGGATATCAAGGACAGCTGGTTCGGGAGGAAGGAAGGAGGAGTATGGGCAGAGGGATTTTTCACTCTCTAAGTTTTGTTGGGATGAAGCTGGGCCCGTCCTGCCTCATTATTCCCCCCTTTGAGACTCCTTCATACTGTTGAAAATGTCGAGGAGTCTCACTTTCCTCCTGGGTCATACGTTCCAGATTCTAGCTCAAAGGTTTGTTTCTTCATCATCATAGGCATTGATTGTATGTGTCAGCTCCTGATACCCCTGCATATATAGTATTTTCCTTTTGAATGTTTGATGCTAGATTGGTTACTAGACTCCGAATCCCTTCTACAAGTAAGGGCACCAAACACGGAAGTACTACAATTATAATTATTATAGGCCCCAGGAGGGGCGCCAGCCAGATTGTCCAGGAGGATAAATTGCTCCAAATTCCCCATTCCCTTAGTTCAGATTTTCTTTTGTTAATTCTTTAATTCCTTAACTTTATTACTGATGACACCAGACTGATTTACATAATAGCGACATTCCTCCCCTATCGGTCATTTTCATCTGGGTCTGCTGTGTTCAGCAGACAACTTTATTACACGTGGAACTACATGAACTTTGACTGGGAGAGTGGTGTGAGTGCAGTAGACCAGAATTTGTGGTCCGCTTGGGTGCACATAGTGGGTGTATGCCCTCGATAACAAGAAGAGTGTAGAAATGTCTGGAACCCATTGTGCCTGCACTGGCTGGGACATTGCCGGCCGGAGGCTAACTGCAGCTGAGTAATGGTGATAATGAAAATCAGAGGAAGCATTCTACACTCAGTAACAGTCCTATGGTTAGAATAAAGGTTGTTGTTGTTGTTATGTGCCGTCGAGTCAGATCTGACTCATAGCGACCCCTCCTTGGGTTCCCAAGGCAGTATCACTACGGAAGTAGATTGCCCCATCTTCCTTCTGCGGAGTGGCTGGTGGGTTTGAACTGCCAGCTTTCTGGTTAGCAGTCAAGTGCCTTAGGCACTATACTACCAGAGCTCCCAGAATAAAGGTTAGGCTTAAGCTAATTCTTTGGGAGAAGGTCCACTGAACCGGAGCTGCTGCTGCGAGTCCAACGGCCAATACTAGGACCAAGGGACCAATCGAAAACAGAAATGCAAGCGAGCAGGACTTGTTTATGGCTAACTGCACCATTAGTGATCCTTAAGTTTCGGCCGTGCATCAACCGGTCAGCTTCTAGGGGTGACTGGAGCAGGGCGTTGATCCTCAAGCTTCAGCTGTGCGTAGACCAGTCAGCCCACGGAGTGACTGGAGCAGGGCACTGCAGGTCTTTGCTTCTCACGTTGTACAGTCACTTTCAGTGGGTTCTGGGGATGGCTTTCAATTTGCCAAAAATTGCCAGAATCCTCGGGCGCGGCTCTTCTAATCCTGGAGTGGTGAATCCACGGAGTGATGCCTTCAACCTTAACTGCTGTGGAGGTAGTCAAAATAACAGTAAATGGTCCCTTCCACTTGGACTTGAGGGGGGTTAAGTTCCGGTCCTTCACCCACACCCAATCCCCAGGTTGGAATGGATGTACCGGGGAGAAAAGGCTTACAGGGAGCCGTTCTGTTACCCATTTAGATATCTGTGCTGACACTATACCCAGTGCCTTTAATTGATTGCTAACTTCTGTTTCTCCCCTTTCCCTGGGTGTTCTGGGCATGGAACGAAGGAGAGGTGGGGGCCTGGTGAAGAGGATTTCATATGGGGAATATCCTGTAGTTTTCTGTGGGGAACACCTGATTTTCAGTAGCACCATTGGAAGGGCTTGTGGCCAGGTTAAGTGTGCTTCTTGGCAGAGTTTACTGAGTCCAGACTTTATAGGCCTGTTCATGCGTTCTACTTTGCCTGAGCTCTGAGGCCTATAAGCAGTATGTAGTTTCTAGTTTATTCCCAAAGCCCGAGCTGTCTCTTGCACCACTTCTGCTATGAATGCTGGCCCATTATCTGAGCCTATGTACAAGGGAAGTATCCATATCTCAGGATGATCTCCTGTAAAAGGGCCCGTGATACTTCCCTGGCCTTCTCCGACAGAGTTGGGAAGGCTTCCACCCATCCGGAATAGGTGCACACCGTTACCAGGAGATAGTGGTAGCCTCCACTCTTGGGCAGTTCAGTGAGATCTACCATCAGATTCTCAAAGGGTGCAGCTCCTACAGACTGGATCCCAGGAGGTGGTGAAGGACCTTCCGGGGGATTTGCAACAAGTTATACATCGCTGGCTGACTCCTTCTGCAAGTGTTGCAAGCCGTGGAATGTAGAAATAATATC